TTTAGGTGAAACTGATGACATGGTCAAGAGAACGATGGATGACCTGCGAGAAGCCGGAGTGGACTGCGTCACATTGGGGCAGTACATGCAGCCCACTAAACGGCACCTCAAAGTTATCGAGTACGTCACACCGGAGAAGTTTGGAGTGTGGGAAGAGTACGGCAACAAGATTGGCTTTGCCTACACTGCTTCAGGGCCTCTAGTCCGATCGAGCTACAAGGCTGGTGAATTCTTCATAAAGAATCTAATTAACCGTCGACGGGAAAAGTCCTCTGACAGAAGTTGATCAACCAAAAAGGCAAGTTTAAGATCTTACTCTTCTTTCCGACATGAAAGTTCCTCTCCATTTTACTAGAACTTCTTAAGTGGAGATTTTTTCAAGTCGCAAATTAAGCTTCAAAACTATTCACACAAATAGCCCAGTTTAATCATCACGTTGAACTGTTTGTGGTTTATTTGTTTTTGCGAGTTTTAACAAATGTTTTTTATCTTTTAAACTAGGTCAACATTGCCATATAAACTCCTCCGTCTGCCAATCATTATCACATTTAGTGTTGCTATTATGGCTGGTAAAGTGTTAATAATAAGAAATAGAAACGACAATTTTGAGTTGCCGCAAATGCAAACTCAAGAAATGCAGCATTTACAGCGTGTTTGAGCCGGACACCGAATCCGCCTCCGAGTCGGATGAGATGGAGGAGTAGGAGCGTTCATTTTCGCAGGTGACCGTGAAGGCCTCCTCCAGCAGCTCGTGATTGTTTGCCGTCACCGTGAGACTGTCGATGTTCTGGAAGATCTCATACAGATTGCTGATGAACTTGTAGATGTCGGTGAAGGAGTTGTAGAGGGGCGTCGGCGCCACACGCATCACACTGGGCATGCGAATGTCACACTGCAAGGCGGAAAGAGGGTCAATCAATACATCATCATCATCATCAACAAGGTCATCAATCAGCTTACCACAATGCCCCGTTTCTGGAACTGCTCCTGGATGACGGAGAGCGGCACTGAGAACATAAGTGACAGCTGACAACCGCGCTGCTTCGGATCAGACGGCGTGATGATCTCCACTGAGGGAATGAGAAAGTCATTGAGATTGTTGTCCTTGCCTATTTTGGGCGGCTTCTGCGGAAAGAAGAACTTCATCATGAACTCAAGGTATCCGGTCAGCAGGAACTGCTTCTGACACCGCTCCTCCAGCGTCGTCTGGTCGAAGATCTAGGGGAGGGGGCAAAGGCCGAGAAAAAAGTATTTTGTTAATCAGCACTGTCTGTGCGTGGCCTACATTCCCNCTCCAGCGTCGTCTGGTCGAAGATCTAGGGGAGGGGGCAAAGGCCGAGAAAAAAGTATTTTGTTAATCAGCACTGTCTGTGCGTGGCCTACATTCCCCTGATGACCATGAGAGAGGATGTATATCATACCATCTCCTATCTTACCTCGAGACTCGACATGAGCATTGCGTTTAATACTGGCGAGGGATTGCTCAACTTGAAGCTATCAGCGCCCAGAGCCGGATCAAAGTCCTCCTTCATCATAAACTTGGTCTTGTTGTTGTTGCCCCACCAGCCTTGGTACATCGGAAAGGTTTCCCGGTACTCTGTCAAGTATCGGTCATTCACGTAGATTGCCCCCATGCCGCCTGCACCGGAATTTAAGTACTAACAAGTGGAGAGTGGAGAGAGGGGTACAGCAAAGCAAAACAAATGATAAGAGGTGGTGAGTTGTGCACTTGGCCAGACTACTGCCTAGACGAGGACTACTGCACTTACTTTGTAGGTGCACCAGGCGGCAAAGTCGACATTCCAGTCGTCGAGGTGGATGGGCACATTGCCGATGGCGTGCGCCAGGTCGACGCCCACCACGATGCCCTTCTCCTGGGCGACCTTCGTCAGCTTGGCCACGTCCAGCAGCTGTCCGGTGTAGTACTGGATGGCCGGCAGCAGGGCCACCGCTATCTGGTCGCCCTCCTCCTCGATCATCCGAATGATGTCATCCTCGTTCAGCAGATTTTCGCCCTGGAAAGCACCGGCAAAAAAAGTAAAGTAATGATCAACACAAGACGCCGAGTGATGGCATTGAGCACTACCCTCTTCCTCCTCTATCATCATCAGACTTTGCCCACTTACTTTGCGTGGCTTCATCGTGAGCAGACCATCCTCTGGGGAGATTCCATGTGATCGAAGCTGTGATTTGGCAACGTACTATGAACACAGGGGAGGAACAAGACCATCGTCAGTCATCATCCAGCTATATTTGGGTTTTATCGGGTTAACGTGCAATGCAGCAGTCAGGCAGCAGTTCGCCCCTAATCGATCGCCTGCTTCATCGATCACCGCCACCAATTAGGCGACAAAACAGGCGGTTGATAAGGCTACTGCTGCTGCTGCACGCAAATGGCCATGTTTGTCGCACTAATTAGTGGTGATTACCACAGACATCAAACATGCTTCTGCTGCTGATGATTGGACAGCTGCCAGCAGCAAAAAGACAAGCGCAAGCTTTTTTCGGTCTTTACGAACACCAACTGGTCCACTTACCGTATCCGAAGGAAAGGCGTGC